CTATCCTGCTGGAATTGCTCACCTCGTCCTCCAAGAAAGGCATACGAATAAGCCATGTTTCTTACCAGATGACCAGCTGACTTTTGCCTTACTTCCACCAGACCAACGTTGTTATCTGATTGACTTTTTCCAGTGCCGGAGCCTTCACGCAGGGCACAAGTACACCTTTGCCGCTGTTCCTGCATGACCCATTGAGACACCGAGCTGTCACCAGCCGCTGTCAAGGTGCTCAGCAGCTGGGCTCCATACCTGGAGGGAGACAGGATGGGTGCAGGGATGAGAGATGCACTGACCTTGGTCCCCCGAGGCTTCCTGCCCACCGAGCACATAGGGACGGGAGTCAGTGACGTGCTCCAAAGCAGCACCGGCAACTTTTCCAAGCTGTGGCATGCACTTTACCCTGCAAGTGCTGCGGTCTGATGGCCTGTAAAACCAGCCTCTCAAGTTAAGAAAGAAGCAAAGCAGGAAACTATCAGCAAGGCACAGCCAGCCACTGCTCCCCGAAGCCCCAGCCCCTTAAGACCAACTGATTTGGCAATGCTGACTTCGTGTGGCAAGATGCATTTGCTTCCCCAGTGCTCATTTTAGGGAAGAAAGGACTTACTGGGGCACAGAGAAAAAAATAGGATGGGGATCACTTGGAGGCTAAGTGTCTCTCAAGTTTTTTTCTATGTTTAAATATATTAACATTTGTCATTTAGCATTTACTGCAACAAACCCGCAGTGTGTGACAGACAATAAAAATCCTGCAGTGACTTAAATGGGACTAATTATGTGAACAACAAGCTACCAACGAGAATCATGATGCCCTCCATACAAAATAAATAAACATCAGTTTCCACCTAATATTTACTTCTTAGAAGTTCAAGACTAATCCCATTTGGCATATTTTAAGGAAGTGAGCTCTTGACCCCAAATGTTTATGGGCGGTAACAGTAAGTCCAATAAAAGAAAGGAAGCATATTTTAAAGCTGCTCTTAAAATCAGATTGGTTTTAGGCACAATTTTGAGAAAGACCGTGTTTCACCTCATGTTTCAAGTAAAGGGGTAAGTGTGACTGATACAGCCCATTCAGACCAATAAGATATTTCTTGCTAGGAAGATTTCTTTTAACAAGGGTTTTTGAATATCCGCTTAACCCCCACCCCCACAGACAGATAACATAGTACCACATGGGTTACATTAGTTGCATCATATCATATACTGCAATAAAGTGCTAAGGGAACTTTCTAGGTGAAATGCATCAAAATAAGACACCATCTGAAAATAATGAGAAATAACAATTTCATGCCAAATTGGTTTGGAGATAAATAAGCCTTTTAATGTATGTATTTAAATGATCTGCTGTCTGCAAAACATTCTAGATCAGCAGTTTATGGCACAACATTTATTTCCTGTAGATAAATAAAAATGTGAAGTAGGTACAGGTGGGCTTCTATAGCCATGTTATCGCTATTTACTGTATTTGTTGGAGCCCAGTTTGTGGCCCCTGTTCTGGATGCTCTGTGCTGTAGAGACAGATCTGGGGCTTTTGCTAAAGAAACACTTGTGTAACCCGAAGGCCACAAGTCAAGCTACAGCTTTTTAAATTACGTGGCATTCTGCCTCTATGAAAGGGACACAAAGCTGGTCCCAAACTGTGCCTTGCAAAAAAATGATAAACGGAATGATAGCATGCTGGCTTTCCACTGTAGCAGTCTTTACGGTTGAGTTTGACTGGTTGTCCTGGTTTGAGGTAAAACAGAACTAATTTTCTGTCCAGTAATTTTACTTTTCAGTTAAGCCTCTTCTGACTAACTGAAGTCTCTGAAATTAACAGACACTGTCTGCTTCCAGAATGATAAGACCTGATTAGCTGTACGTTATGCCAAGGAATGGTATGCAGAGAGGCTCTTGCTTATACTTATTGCTATAACAACCAAGGCCAGCTCACTTTGTTATATGCCCTGTTGGAAGGTTGGAAGCAGAAGAGCATAGAGGGGTCACACCTGCGGGGAGGAGCGAACAGGACTGGTGACCCAAAACTGACCAACAGGGTATTCCATCCCATCTGCATCATGCTCAGTATAAAAGCTGAGGGATCCAAGGGTCAGCCCTTTCTTTCTTCAATGGCCAGTGTCCAAGGAGGACTCTGTCTGTTTGTCTGCCTTTGATCCCGATCCGTGCATTCCTGAATTCAGACCCAAAATCCAGTTCCCATCCGTCACTGAGTCCAGTCTGGGACTTTCCCAGTACTTTGCAGTGATGTGATGGTCATCCTGGGAGCTTGATACAGTTTTATATATGTTGTGTATTTATTTTTTATTATTTTATTAATACTTTCATTAAGGTAGTTTAGTTTCTTTTAAAGTCGTAATTGTCTTTCTCTCTCTTCCTCCTCTCCCTGAAGGGAGACGGTCTCCCTTCTTTGGAGGGAGAGAGGTCACAGAGCATCTGTCATTCGTTCCAGTGGCTTGTCCGGCCCAAACTGCGACACTCATCCCGAGTAAATCAAGCAAAACACTCTACCAAAGCTTTTGAACAGATGAGAGAATACTGCAGGAGCTAAGAGGACACAAAAAAGTTCAGAGTTAAGACTTGATAGCCGGACAGCTCTGGAAGATGAGGAGAAAGGGCAGCCCGCAGGGAGCCAACCCCATGGAGGATGGAGGCCAGCGGAGACCCTGGGGCAGGAGGGGTGGCTGGGCCCAGCTGCATGAACCTTTCGCTTCACAAAATCCCATCTCTTTCCACTTTTCCAAGAAAGAATTTTTTTTAAAAAAAGAAGATACATGTGGTTCGTGTGACTTGGAGCCAGGAATAACTGACCAGTACATTTCCATGGAGGCTCTTCCCTCATGGCCCAGCACTGTGAGCTTCATTGATCTGACACCTGCTATATGCCCATGGTGATCAGTGTCCTCTTTTATATACATATATATATATAAACCGTCCTTTATTTATATATATATATATCTATAAATTATCCTTTAGGTGGCCGTGTGCTGAGGCTGCAGCCGGCCGCGCGCAGTGCCGCCTCAGGCCGCCGCCACACTGGTGCCACTCCTCAGCTGCGGAGGAGGCGGGGCAGGGTTGCG